TCAGAGAAATGCAATGATTTGCAAGACTTCAAGTATCTGCCTTGAAAACTATTTGTACTTCACAGAAACATTTTGTTTCACTTTCACACCTGCAAGTCACCGTAAGCAGTTTTAGCTAAACAACTATTTTTACACTTAAGAAAAATGGAAAACAATTCAAGGAAGCGTGCAGCAAATTGCAGAGTTTTACTTTGACCAGACACGGGGCCTGCTCTCTGTCAGAGTAAACACCACTCAAACTGAGTTACAAGTAACAGCAGAAACAGAGGTGCACAGAATGCTCACCTGCAAAACGCTGAGGAGGTTTTAGCTGTGGTGTGTGCGTAGTCCATAGGAAGTCAGGAGAGGCCTGCTTTGCATTTTTAAAAACAGACTAATACGTGTGTGTGTGCTTTGAGCAGGCACATTCTGTGTGTTACAGAAAGGAAGGAAGAAGTCTTGATTAAATCAGACTTCCTCGTCCAATTGGCTTGCTGTTTTGGTGCATTAAGTTTCCTATCTGCCTCCAACAGCTTGGCTGCTGTCTGCAGACAAGATGCAGCAATGCAGCTCCAGCCACAAGGGCAGGATGCAAATCCCAGGCAGTTCTACATGTGCAAACATAAAGTGTGGCAGAGGAAAGCGCTGAACAGTCAATGCAATTACAAAATCAATGGAAACGTGTCCGCATGGATTTCTGAAACCAAAAAACCCCACGCTTAGCAAATAAGAGATTAGGAAAAATGAGTCAAATATGTAAATGCACTTATGTGGAAAAATATGCCCTGTAGGACTCTTTAAAGTAGAGACTTAACATCCAGTTCAGGAAAGAACATGCAGATGGTACCACAATAAATAGCCTTGTTCAATGTAAAATTGCACTTCTGACAGAAATCCTGATTCCACACAGTGCTTAAATATATGATTAATTTCAAATATCTGCTTAATTGAAGTTCAAAAAGGAGCATTATCATATTTGACGTGACTACTAAACTTGAAATGAACTTGTGTGCGCCTAAAATTAATCCTGTACTTCAGCTCTTTATTGAGCTGAGGACAAAGCGAAGAAGAATAATGCATTAATCCACACATCCACTGGCCGAGATGCTTCCTATTGTAGTTCACTTTGCTTTGGAAATTTGCTTTAAAGCACTGAGATAACTATTTCTGGGGTAAGTAGTGTGGATGCTATCTCTTTAGTAATGTAAGTTTCCCTGTTGCCAAAGCTCACTCAATGAAAAACCAAGAGATTTTAATGCAGCACAAATGTGGGAGGCAAGCATCCAAAGAACCACATGGATCCTGCCCCACGCATTCCTTTAGAACAAACAATTTCAAATAATGTAAGATCAGGGCCAGAAACTGACAATGTCTCTCTTCAGCTTTATTCACAACATAAAACAATGCCAACTTTAACTTGGACTCTGTCTAAATGTAGACATTTTGCCAAAATAGTTGTCAGAATGATGAAAAATCACTCCTATGCAACTCCAGCCATACTGGCAAAACCCTTAATGTAAGGGACTGGCAGAGTCCTTCAGCCCATTTAATGTGATCCATGCGGAAAGTGATTTAAATTATAGCAGAAAAGAAATGTGTGCTTGCCAATACAGCTCTAAGGTGTAGCTGTACCAGCCAAAGCTTTTAAGTGTAGACAAGGCGTGGGTTTCTGGCTCGGGTCTCATTCCTTTAAAGTTAGATTTACGGGTTTGGTTACAATTGTGAACAAAATCCAAGGAGGATTTTGGTGCATTTCACTCATGCTGACAGTTCACAGACGTATCTGAGCTTTGAATTCTGAATTTGCTACTTAATGTGTTGCCAGAAAACAGTGTATTACTTTGTGGTGCTTCATGCTCTTGTCCTCGTCTTGAAGGCGAAGGAAAAGGAGAAAGTATATTTTTCACTTAATTAAACATAAAGGTCATTATTAATAATTTCAGAGTGAGTACCTCCTAGTTTTTTTTAATCATCCAGGATAATTAGATGTGAAATCTGCAATTATGAGCATGACTGAGTGATATGAAATAGCTTATAAATCAAGGGTGTTCTGCAGGAATTCTGCCTGCCTTGGCAGCATAAGCTATTCTGTTTACATCTGGTTCCTGAAGGGTGGGTTGGTAGCATCCCCAGGACCACTGCTAACCCCATTGGCTGTGACATCAGTGTTACCTGGCTGCTGCTCCCATACTCTCTGGCTTGTTCCAGGCAACCCTTAGCCCTTCACCAGGACCAACTGTTGTTTAGCAGTGTTTTACTTTTCTTTTACTTTACTTTTGAATGTCTCCTTGATTAGCACATTCAAAAAAAAAAAAAAAAAATCTACATTATACGGTAGGGTTTGTTAGCAGAGTGCGTAACTGATAGCTCTTGCTTTGTACTTTCAGTTTCACTTTCAGCAGTCAAATATAAAAGATTAAGTAGCAGCAAAGGGGAATGTTCATAGGAGCAGCATACCATTCTGAGACGAGCAAGTGCTCTTACGTTCTAAATTAATCTGGGTATTCATAAAACAATGGTAAATTTTAATGAAAAAATGTACTGTGTCACATTCAGTGGTGAAAAAAGAACGCTTATGCACTGGCTTACTCAGAGTTTGCATTCTGCACAAGCACTGACTTTGGCTGGCATACATAAAGGCCACAGTATTAAATGCATTTACTGAGGGATATAGAAAAAATTCTGCAGTAACACAGGAGCTAGGTGAGGTTAAAGTTGTAATACTGCAGTTTATAGAAGTGGTTGTCATAGGAGTTATGTCCTTCATATATCTTTAAGAGGAAAGGACCCATTTTAGGAAGAGCTGCCTAAAACTCGTTAATTAGCCACCAGATGAGCTAGCCTTGTGATGGCATGTTAAGGATGCCTTTAGGGAAAGACCAGTGTTCGTGCTTTTGATGGTTAAAGAATCAGAAGGGACTGCTACAACAGTGTTATATGTCGTGCCTTGATTTGGGCAGCTAACGTTTTCCCAATCTCATAGTTACAAAAACCCCAACAGAGAAAATACTTAAAACTCATATTAGCTTGAAAAATGATGAGATAAACCACCGTTACATAGGAACTGCAGTTTACTACCAGGTTTTTTCCTGTTATAGCAGGCATTGCAAACTCTTATTTGAGTTAAATATGGCTGTAATACCCAATTATAAAACCTCTTCAGCTCCAGCCCTGTGAAATACAGCTTCAGATGACCTCCTAGGGCTTGTGCTGCTTTCTGCTCTCAGGCTCCAAGCTATGTGACTAATCCTTATTTATTTTAGCAAATAATTCATTAGAACTGCAGGTAATGAAAAATACCAAGAGGGGGCAGAAATACCCAACATATTTGTCCAAGTCCTCTTCTACCATACAACTAATATTTAGAAAGTGCTGTGATGTTGACTTTTATGCTTCTGCAGGAACTTTTCCTCTCTTTTTTTTCTTTTACTGCAGCTGCATACTTACCGTTTCCATGTTTGAAGTGGAAATAATCATATGTTCTGCATGAATATTCAGCACTTCTGGGTACTGATAAATGTATAGCAAACTACTGTCCTGGCACAGCACAAAATACTGTTCCATGATATTTATATAATGTTTAATTGTATGCTGGTGTGTCTTCTGAAAGTGGGATTTGTTTACAATACTTCATTATTACAGAAAGTTTTACCAAGAGTGCCATTTTAAAAAAATATTGTGCTGCTTAATGGCAAATATATTGTGTTCGTGTTACAGACAGGGTTTGTAACATGAAAGAGATGCAACAGGCCCATTTTATGCTGTCAAAGTCCTGCTATCACTTTACAGCTCTTTCGATACTTCTAAAGGAGCTGCAGAGTAACAGGCTTGGGCTGCCTTCCAGCTGTGCTCTGTCAGTGGCACGGAGCTGCAGCGCACGCCCGGCGGCTCTATGGGATGTTAACATGGGATATTAGCATGGGTTACATCTCAGGGCACTTCTGTCTGTGCACAACGACAGGCTTCCTAAATGGTGTGTACACGTTGGTCATTTTCCCTGCTGATAACACTGAGAGCTGAGTACATAATCACATAAGCACGTAATTACATGGACTAGATAAGCATTTTTAAATATTTGCTTTTCAGCTGCTGGATATGCCGTGTAAAGTCATTCCTGGCTCGTATTTTGTTATCTAACTCTTCCAACGTGTCTGTCGGCTTTTTTTTTTTTTTTTTTGTCGGCACGGCGTTAGTGCTTACAGTCGCGTTCCACGTGCGGTTTATTTATAGCCGAATGTAAACATGACAGCCTTTGGGCTAACAGGATTTCAGCACACGCGGGTTTGTAGGCGCGGTGGGAAAGGCAGCAAAGCGCAGCTAGAGATAGCCACCTGGAGGCTTAGCACAGCATAGCCCGCTTTGCAGCTACGGGAACGAGGCGGACCGTTTAAATCTTACTGTACTTTCTCTGCTGTTTATTGGTTATAAATTAAGCAACGTTGAGAGGGAATCCTGCCGTTCAGTGCCCACAGTGCGGTCAGCCCGCTCGTTCCTGCAGCACTGCTCGCCCCGAGCGCCACCGCCGGCTGGACTCAGTACAGCCGCGCTCAGAGACCGCGTGCTGAGACGTTGGGCTGCGGACGAGCTGCAGCTGGCTTCGCGAAGCCCCGTATCAGCGCCGTTTCGCGCACCTGTGCGAAGTCGCTGGCGGCGCGCGCAGAACGCAGCCGGGCCAGTCCTCGGCACGCGCCGCCATTGCGACAGAAACGGCTCCGGCCCACGCGTCCGGCTAGCCGCGCCGCCAATGGGCAGGCAGCGAGCACGGGCGTCACCCAATCAGCTCCCCCGCAGTTCCCGAAGTGCGGCCTGCTCCCGCCTCGCGCTCCGCGCAGCCAATCGGCGCCCTCACGAAGGCCGCCCGCCTCTTCCTCTCCTCCCCGAACCTTCCTCTGCGGCTCATACAACCTTGACTACGTAGAAACCTCGAGTCGGCCCGTCACCGGGCGGCGCTCTCCGCCAATGACATCGCGAAGCGGCCGTGTCGCCGCTCCCTGATTGGCTGCGCGGGGTCAGGAGGGCGGGCCCGGCGGAGAGGCAGGCTGCGTTTCGGTGGCGGAGCCGCGGTGCGCCAAAGATGGGACCGTGAGGCGGGCACGAGCAGGTGAGGAGGCGCGCCTCGTCGGGCTCCCTTAGGTACTCTCAGGTATCCTCAGGTAGGGGCGGCCCTCGCCGGGGCCCGGCCGCTCCGCTCGAGCGCTCCCAGCTGCGCAGCGTCCACCCTCAGGCCCTTCCCGCGGCCCACGGAGCGCTTCGAGGCCGCCTCGCCCGACTTGGGCCCGGGAGCGGGCGTTGTGCCGAGCGCTCGGCTCTGTGCCGCGGCCGGTAGGGCGGAGCGCGGTTGGGGCCGCGCCGCGGAGCCGCGGCGGTGCTGCCGAGTCTGGGTGGGAGGGGCGGCCTTGGAGGCAGCGGCGCCGGGGCTTTCCGCCGGTTACCGGCTGGGCTTGTTCTTCCTCCTGGGCGGAGCGCGTGTGTCACAACGGGAACCTCTAACCGCATTTAGCTTTTAGAAATGCTGGATTTATTGATATTGGCGGGTATTTTAATTGATATTTTGAAGAAGCTTCTTAATTCTTTCCTCGCACGCCGTGTGAGAGCTGTCTGCAGCCGCTGCCGGCACCTGCTGTTCTCATCAGCTTTGTTATAATCGCTCCTTGCACGCGTGCTTCTCAGCTGGCTTTTCTGTGCCATGGGAATGCTTATCTATCCGTTCTGTTGTTATGGAACGGTGTCTTTGGAGTGGGGAAGCGGTAAATAAGTTTTAATAGACGTTTTTGTGTGGTGGTAACACACTGGTAATGAACTTTGTCATCGTGGAAAACTCGTTAGCACTTTATTTAGTGGCTTTGTGCCATCCCTGTGGACGGCAGGACTTCCAAAGGCTGGCTGTGCACGGTGTAAAGTTATTTTGAAATCTGATTGTAGCTATTGATGTGTTTTCTCACTGAATTCTTTGCCACTGTGTTAAGATCGCATACTACTGCAGCGCAGCTGCACATGGGGTAGAATTAGGGGGTTGGTAGCTGCAAACAAAGCTTTCCTGATGTGTTCCTTGCTTCTCTTCGTAAGCTCTTAAGCAGACTTCTTTTAATATGTTATTATATCCGTACTTAGTGTTATGGTTACTGAAAGGAGGACCTGGATCCTTGCAGTATCAGGTAGTTGCATCGTGTGGGGCATTGATGAGCTGCGTGGAGGGACTGTGAGAAGGGGAGTTAAATAATTTCAAAAATGAAAACACCTGAAAAATGCATGATTTTCTATAAGGTGCTACAGCAGCTTTGTCTAAGTGTGGCATGACTGGCACCTGTGTGTAATATCTTGGAGATGAAGAGAGCTGGCATGGCTCTGTCGAGCAGTGCCTTGCTTGGAGGCATAGCAGGGCGGATAAGAAGGTGTGAATTCCTAGTGGCTGAAAGATGCTATGTTGCTTACAGTTAAACTGCGCCTTGGCTGTTATTTTCCTTCACGTGAAAAAGTTTAAAACTTTCTTTAAGTATGTTGCAGATAATTACTTGTAGAGTCTTTCTGATAGCCTCTGGAACTCAGATCAGACTGAGTAGGGGAAGTAACAGTAGGTCCTGTGATACTTAAATTGGAGAAAAGACTTGGAGGAGAAGAATAGCAGTGTTAGGACAAAGCATATTTGTTTTTTATATGCTGAAGTTAAACTTCACCTTTAACTAAATGCAAACTGGCTTTGGCTCCACAGAGTGGTGACACGACAATTTATGTGGAGGTGTTTTCTTTACTTGTATGGGACCCTTCTTGCTCTTCAATAAAAAAAATAATTCCTGTTAAGCTATTGAAGATTCTCCTTCATGTATCCATTTTAACATGTAACATGTATGTATGAGGGCTGCTCCAAAAGTAATGCCTTCTATTTTATTATGTTGGCCCACAAAGTCAGAGGCAGATGTTGGTGGGATGGCAGTAGAGATTGAGCCTTCCCACCAATATTCTGTTACGTTTTGTTGCTGTGTGACATCAGATGCCGTGTGATGGCAGCAGAGGGACAGCCTTTGACATAGAAGCGTGGATGAAGCAAAGAGGTGTCTTTGAATTCTTCATGTGGAGAAAATGGCGCCCTCTGAGGCTTGCTGAATGTCTGGTGAGCAGACAGTGGATGTGAGCAGGGTGAGGCGGTGGATGTATGTTTCAGCAGTAGTGACTGTCATGTGAAAGACGAGGTGTGGTGTTGATGGCCACACAAAGCTGTCACACTGTCAAATGAAGAGCATCTCAACCAGCTCATCCATGCAAACCATTGGATTACCACCAGAGAACTGTGCATTGAGCTGAGTATCAGCTTGAGTGTGTTGGAAACAATGGTGGCAGTGTTGGGATATCACAGAGTTTGCACCAGGTGGGTCCCACAAATACACAGAAAGAGAAAGAACACTGAGTGCGAGTTTGTCAGGACCTACTGAACCCAAACAGGGTTCCCTAGATCACATCATTACTACTGATCTGATGTCCCCAGTGTGAGCCAGAGTAAAAACATCAGTCCATGGAGTGGCCATATGTGAATTCCCCATCAAAGAATCAATTCAAGATGGAGCCCTGAGTGGGTAAAGCGATGTGCACTGTCTTCTGGGATAGGAAAGGGGCAATCCTGGAACCCTGACATGCCATTAACTCTGACCGCTACATGGTGATTGTAAGGCCTGAGAAAAAGATCATCTTTCTCTTGCAACACAGTAACACCAGGCCTCATACAGTTAGGAGGCTATGGAGCACATTGCCAGCCTTAACTGGACTGTCCTGCCAAACTCATTGTATAACATGGATTTGGAGTGTTAGTACTTCCATCTGTTGGGCTGATGAAAGATCTGTTGTGTGGGCAATCACTTTCCTAGCAGCTGTGCAATTATAGCAGCTGTGAAACAGTGGTCACCTCTGCTGGTGCAGACTTGTTTGCACATGGCATGCAGGCTCTTGTTCATCACCAGTGAAAATGCATAGTGAATGGTAGTGACTGTCCTGAAAGATAGTGTTTTGTAGCTGACAGTGTGCTTTATCAGATAGTGTTATTTGCTCTCTGTATCTGCTGTAGTCTCTGTGAAAATGAAGAAGAGGCGTTACTTTTGGAGCAACTATGTATGTATGTTACTTGTATTTCTGCTACCGTGAGCAATGAAATATTGTAAGATATTGTTAAGTTCCTTGATTGTGAACTATAATTCTTAGGGTAATATTTAACAAAGGTGTTTTCACCCAGCCTGCTTTATTAAGTGATAAATTTCCTACTTTGTTGAAGTGAATTACCTTTCTCAAATGATAAAGAAAGCTGCTAGGTTTTTCTACGTAATGGAATGTTTCAGCACTGATACAATTTGGCTTTCATGCATTGTTTATTGCTTACTGTAACTGCCCATCTCTGTTGCTTAAAGAAACGACTGTTGCAGAGGGGTACAATTTCCATTTTCTGTCCATCTCTTACACTGACACAATTTTCTACTTCGCTAAAACAAAACGTTATCTGAGATGACAGATGTGCACTTTGTCAGAAGTAAGTAGTCACAGAGTACGAGGAAAGGTCTTCCTAACAGAGAGCTTCCACAAAATACCATTTGTGAGGATGTTTTTTCCAGTTCATTTGAAATTGAGATTTTTTTTATCCTTTCCCTTGAGTGGTTCCTGCATTTCAGTACGCTTTTTCCATAGCCTCTTCAAGGAAACAAGGGGAGGAAATGCATAGCATTAACAAGCACAAGTATGTGTGTGGTCAGTGGGGCTGCGGCTGTTCAGGGTCTGTTTTTGCTGCCTTGGATTTTGCTGAAGTGTTTTTGTTCTGTTGGAGGAATGGTTGTGGTCACAGATGTAAATGATTTTCTGTTCTTTTACTTAAGACTAGCAGCATTTCTCCAGCTTAAGTTTGCCTTTCTTTCTGCTTTTCCTAGGCCTTCTGCTCTGGAGTTGGTTCTCTGCAATATGAAAACTGAATCGTTTCACAAATCGTGGACCTTCTAGTAGAATTTTTCAAGATCAGTAGACATATAACAACAGCTTTATTTTTTTTCTTGAAATCTTCTGTGCAGCTTCTGAAGTTTCAGTCACAATGAGTTCAGGGTTATGGAGTCAAGAAAAAGGAAGTTCATCCTATTGGGAAGAGCGCATCTTTTACCTGCTTCTCCAAGAATGCAGTGTCGTAGACAAGCAGACTCAAAAGCTATTGAAGGTGCCCAAGGGTAGCATTGGGCAGTTTTTTCAAGACCGTTCTTCAATGGGACACTCCAGAAATATTCCTTGTAAAGGCAAGAAACTACAGATTGGATTAAAAATTCTGGAACAACCTCATGCAGTTCTTTTTGTGGATGAGAAGGATGTTATCGAAATAAATGAAAAGCTAGCTGAACTGCTTTTGGCGATTACTAACTGCGAGGAAAGGTACAGCTTGTTTAAAAGCAAAAGCAGATTAACTAAAGGCATCCAAATAGATATTGGCTCACCTGTTAGAGTACAGCTTAGGTCGGGAGAAGAGAAGTTTCCTGGAGTTGTTCGTTTCAGAGGACCCTTGCTGCAGGAAAGGTCCCTAACAGGGATATATTTTGGAGTAGAACTGCTGGTAAGTTCCTTGCTAAGGGCGAGCATCACATGTATTTTGTAAGATGAACTGAAAATGCTTTTTAAAGAGGCAGTTATAACAGAATCTAGCAGCTTTGTTACCCCTCCACACAACCCCCCCCAGTTTTGTGACCTTCAGGCTTTTCATAAAAATCAAAAGTAAGAGCTGTGTATCAAATATACGTGACCTGTGAGATCACAGCATGTCACATCAGCCTTGTATGCTATGCCTTTAATGAAGACACGGGAGCTAGCAGAAAGACTTGAACATATTCTGACTCTTCTAGTCTAGGAAGAGTTAATACCTTACGTTTCCATCAAGGCAAACTTCTGACTCTCAGCTTTCTGTTGGGTACCTTGGTTTTCTGTGTGTGTCAGCAGTGCCTGGATACAATCTGTAGTGCAGACTAGATTTCAGTGCTCTTGCAGAGCACAAAAATTCCAATTGCAGCTAGTTAAGAGAGAAAGTGTGACCATTGTGTGCTTCAGTGAGGCATTACTGTGCTGCAGTGGCATGAGACATTGAAGGATTCGATTGAGGAAAGTGCTACTCTTGTTCTAGGAATATATTTTTCAAAGTTTCCACGCTTTTTGCAGTTGCTAGTAAGAACCTCAGGGAACGTCAGGCCTGAGCACGTATGAAAATCATCTCTCTTCATTTGATTTCTTAACATTTGTGTTTAGTATGAAGTAATCTCACCTTGATCTGGCAAAAGTTTGATAATAAAAGCAAAATCTGCAGCTGAAGAATACATTCTTTGCCAAGCTTTCTGCCATTTAATCCCTTAGGGTAGACAGTGTGTGTATTTGTTGCAAATTCTGACAACTTCTCCCAGTGCAGTGATAGTTCATCAGGCTAATTCATACTGTGGGTTCTCCAGATCAGTGGATTATTTTACTGTTTCTGAAGTAGCCTGCATTGGCACAAAATACACTGTTTTTCTTTCTTCTTCTCCCTCTGTTACTTAGGAAGAAGGTCGTGGCCAGGGCTTTACTGATGGACAGTACCAAGGCAAGCAGCTTTTCAGATGTGATGAGGATTGTGGGGTTTTTGTTGCTTTGGACAAACTGGAGCTGGTGGAAGAAGATGACAATGAACTGGAAAGTGACTATGCAGCTCCAGTTGACGCAATGCAGGTAGAACTTCCTCCTCTGGAGATCAACTCCAGGGTTTCTCTGAAGATAGGAGAGAGTATAGAGTATGGGACAGTTATATTCTGTGATGTCTTACCAGGAAACGAAAGTTTAGGATACGTTGTTGGAGTGGACATGGTAAGAGAATAATCCGACTTTAATAACTTTTGCATGTGTGTTAGCTAGTAAATTACATGCAATATAAAAGAAGAAACATTATCCACAAGCTGCTTCAGTGGAGGCTGACCTAAAATGGGAATTAAACAGTAGTGTTCAAAAATGTCCCTCGATCGTAACTGTTTTTTGTCAGTAGGTAAATAGAACCCTCTTTGATGTTAAGTGCTTCAGGACAAATATTCTGGTCATGCTGAGGAGCCTCCACTGAGCCACTTGCAGTGTTCGATGTCAGTCTTCAAGTAACAGCATTGAATGTTTGTCTTGTGAGACTGGCTTTGTCCTGCCTTTAAAAAAATAATTAGGTTGCATTTTTTTTTTTTTTTTTTTATTTTTTTTTTTTTTTCTTTCATGTAGCTTTGGTTTGTTTGTATTTTAGTTTGTACTTAAAATTCAGTATTTAAAGGTTGATGTTTCTAATTTTAATTACAAACTTCATGTTTCCCAGAAACTCAGCTTTCTTAAAATGGACTATTTGGCATATTTTTGGCAGTTCAAGGGTGCTTTTCAGACCAGGTGCTTCCATTTCCTTGATTGCCACAGCTGTTACTTAATAGCACTAAAAACTGTTCTAACCTGTGTAAAAATAATGGGTTGTAGTAAAGGAATGATTGTTAAAATAGGAACTACTTCAGAAAAGAACAGGGATGTTTGAATCATTTTGTACCAAAAGGTTTGTACAGAAAAAAATATTTGGTGTCAAACTTTATGATTTTCTTTTTTACCATAAATGGTTGAACATGTTCCTAAAGGCAGGTGTTCTGCATGCCCTATTTATTTTCTGGGGACACATGTAACATGTTTTTCTGTTTTTAGGATAATCCTATTGGAAACTGGGATGGAAGATACAATGGCATACAGCTGTGCAGTTTTGCAAGTGTTGAAAGTACCCTTCTTTTGCATATCAATGATGTTATACCAGGTATGCTCTGCTTTCTCAATCCTAAGGCAGACGGATAACAACCAGCGCACGGTTACATGATAAAACAGTACTGTGGAATTACTGGATCCTGAGTTCACCTGAATTAATTTGTGTTCAGTTTCTTTGGCTGCAGTCTCACTTGTGGAAACTGTTCTAATATTGGACAGTGAGCTTTTCAAATTGTATGGGGTATGACATAGGCACACCTAAATATGTGAGAGGTGACAGCAGAAATCATTCTTGAATGCCTTTCAGCTGAAGGAATTTAAATACTGTGGATCATTAAGCATGTCTTCCTTGGGTTGAGATGTATTGACAGCAGTATGTATGCATTCTGTGAGTAAACATTTGAAGTTTCTGAAAAATTCATAGCAATGCTGGTCAAAGATTCTCTATTCCCGTAATTCAGTGCAGTTGTAACAACTGTGATCCTGTAATTTTTCTTCTGAAGGTAAGAAAATAGGGCACAAATAAATAACATGAAATTACCTGATATCAGGTACCAGTGAGAGTGTGGTTTTGTCCAACATGTAGCTATTGTCCTTCTCCCTTCAGTTTGGCCAGCTTTTCCTACATTCACCTCCTCCTTTTTGGCTTGCTGAGATGCGTGTTTTTGGGCCCTCTTTTCTCTGGAGAATTCAAGGAAACGTTTGCTGTAGTTCTGTTTGTAGGGAGGAAAAGAAGTAGGAATTTCATGTGTTTCCCGTAGTGTAAGCATGAAATGTTCATTGAAAAATCTGGAGTTAGTCTGTTAGTTATGCTAAACAAATGCAGAATTGGAATGAGTAATGATTGATGCAATGGAAACAAACCCTACTAGTAGAAGAAATTGTTGGCTGTGTACCAAACACTGTTTTATTCCCATTTGCATTTCAAGCTGAATTTCTGTGTGGTGTAGAAAACTAATGTTCCATCCATATGCACCATCTTAGAGACTGTGTCACAAGACAGGAGACCTCCCAAGCTTGCCTATACCGCAAGAGGTGGTGGTGATAAAAGTGTGTTCAACCATAGTAAGCCAAAGGCAACAGGTACGTATGAGGGGTCGTTTTTTAGTGTAAGATTACAAATTTATATTGCTTGGAGCAAAACATTGCCTTACGCTTCATTCATTTTTGCAGCCACTTATCGAGTTAAGTTTGTCTGAAGCAGTGAATAGTCAGAATATTTTCATGAACTTATTTTCCATAATAAGAATAGTTTGCAGTTTTCTGAGGTTTCTTTTGTTGTTGTTAAAATGCACGCAGAAGTTGAGACTACTCAACAACCAATTTGAGGTTGAGCAAAAATTCAGGGGCATGTTACCTCACAGCCCAGTCCTTTTCTGAAAATGTGGTTTGTTTGTTTTTAAGTTGAATTTGCTGTTGACTTTGTTCTGCTTAAGAAACTTCTGAATATTTAACTGTGGAGCAGATCTATTTAATAACAAATCTATCAATTTTTCTGTGATTGAGAACCAGAATGAAGTTTTATAAAAGCCTGTTTTGACTTTTGGTTTTGGCTAGATTTTTTTCCTAAGGGGGGAGAATGAAAGGAAGTAATGGTATCTGTGTGTGTACATAAATGTTTTTAAAAGGCATAAATCAAAGTGCTGTGTTCTCTTATTCCTGCTGTCAGTTTTGGGCTGTGGAATACTAATGATGGGATGTATGCTCTGTAAGCGGCTCTCCCTTGCATCTTCTGCTAACTGAAATGGATGGCTTTCACTGAAGTAACTGTGGTTGTATGTCAGCACAAGTTAAAGCTGTGTGGGATTGGAACTTTATTTGCCTATTCTAAATTTTTTTTCAGCTTTAGAGGCAAAGATTAAAAAATGCCTAATGTAAACTGTTTCTCAAACTGCTTTCCTATATCCATATTTCATAGTAATGAAAAATTAGCACTTGTGGATGGTTTTCTTTTTTTTCTTTTCAGATTCCTAACTTTAATTTTTAATTTGGATGATTGATTAATGTCAGTGCAAACTGCTATCTGGTGGCAGGCTTAGAACTGTTATTTTTGATGCAAGAGTTGCTGCTTTGTGGAAGGGCAGTTCTGTTATTTTGGAATTACGGTAGCAAACCAAGCTCTCCTTCACAATACAAGCTAACCAGCTGTGAAGGGCAGTGGATCTCTCATGTACAATATGCTTTCTTTTCCAGGATCTACCTCTGAGCCTGGAAATAGAAACAGATCTGAAGTCTTCTACACATTAAATGGATCATCAGTTGATTCTCAGCCTCAAGCAAAAACAAAACCCCCATGGTATATTGATGAAGGTAGTGAGAGATGATAGTCTTTCACCTAGGCATACATTTTATTTCAAAACAAGTGTATGTATGTTCTTCACATAAAACAATTATGAATTTAGAGCAAAACAGTTGGCACATGTAGAGGAAAACATACTCTGTTGTAAAGCATTTTGAAGCCCCAGTGGAAATATTTTGTCTTAATTGGTAGGCCTGTTTTCCTCCTGCATGTAGATTGCATCTTGGAAATGTGTTTGCAGCACTGTGGGAACGTGCATGTCTTGCAGGCAGAGTAACAGCTTAGTAGGAAGACAAGACACTCCTTGTTGTAGGCAACTGTGTATAGTAACTGTATATTGTGTGCATTTGTCTTCTAACCATGTAGTTCCCTTAAGCCTGTAACACTGCTGTGCTAGCTGATGAGTCTCAAAGTAGGAAAAAAAAGATCTGTGTCACCTACATACACTTGTATTTGAAATTACATACACTTGTGTTTAAAATTGTTTTTATAAAACCTCACTGAATTTTCATAAATTCGGATGCGTACACTGAGAGCACCAGGGGATCTTTATTTGCTTCTGGATCTAATGTGTATTTTTCATGTCATTACTGTTTTCTGAAGTGTGGCTGACTGAAGGGGTAAACACTAAATTAGTAGCATTGCTGCAGGTTTCCACAGTAAATCAGAGGCAGGCCCTGTGTTCTGTGAACTCTAAAAGAAAATTGGTTAAAATTGCTTATGGTGCCCTAACAGATACCAAGTGTGGAAATATATATAAAAATTAGTTTTAGTTTATTGTAATATGTAAAAAAAGCACTTTACTCTGTAAATATCAATTGTGTACTAGAGGCCACATAGAAAGATGAGAGTAGATGCAAAACATCTGTGTTATTATATCTAGTTGTGATCTCATTAATTAAGCACTACATTAGTTGTGGCTCATTAAAACCCTTTATTCTCTGGACACAGATAGATTCCCTGTCCTAGAACCAAAACATGTTGTAGTGCAGCCAAAGTGGAAAAGAATGCTTTTCCAGTTGCAAATGATGTCCATAAGCAATTACTCATTTCTGTATTAACTACCAGCTGAATTCTCTCCTCAGTTGTTCAGTGTTCCTAGTTGGACCCACTACCGTAATCACTGGGGCTGTTTACTTGCATTCAAACACCAGTTCTGCCTTGGGTTACTAAAAAACATTAATTTTAAACCTTCCTGTAATTTCTGGTTAACACCTTTCTTCATGCTGCATGTTTCCATCGGTTGTGTGATGTAAGTTGTAGGGCTGTAGTAGTTTATCCTCACCCAGTTATGTCTCTGGTGTTGTGAAGTGACAGACATCTTCCTACATTCCTCCTGCTTAACTCATCCTATGCAGGACATGCATTAAATCAGAGGTAGTTGCAGATACTTGTATCAATTTGACAGCTAAGCCTCCCTTTCAGTAAGGAGATGGAGGCACCCCAAACAAAACCTGAGTTAACGTCTTGTTTTTGATTCTTAACAGTTGCTGAAGACCCTGCAAAATCACTTACTGATTCATCTCCTGGATTTGGGCATTCTTCACCACCACTGCAGCCACCTTTAACAAACTCTATGACTACAGAAAACAGATTCCACTCTCTCCCTTTCAGTTTGACAAAAGCATCAAGTACTAACGGTGCTATTGGACACAGTCCTCTGTCTTTATCTGTTCAGTCAGTCATTGGTGATGTAAACACTACAGCTAACCAGGAAAGTCCATCAACAGGAGGCCCTGTTGGTAACTCGCATGGTCTTGAAGCAGGTTCCTTGGCTGAAGTCAAAGAAAATCCCCCTTTCTATGGAGTAATCCGCTGGATTGGCCAGCCTCCTGGGGTAAATGAAGTGTTAGCTGGACTGGAGCTGGTAAATATCATCTGATAAGTTGATTCATAGTAGTATTAATTATCTGCTTTGAGAGTTGTTGCTGCATGTATACTTTACAGTAGTGGATGAAAATTTGTCTGAAGTTGCTATGTGATCTCCTTGTAAGGCAGATGAAATCTCAGATGGGCTCTGACTTTCGTGGCTGCCCTAGGCCTTATTCCATTAATAGGCTCTGAGGTGGCTTTGTGCTACAAAGCATGATTGACTCAGAAGGACCGTAGGTGACTCATTTGCTTTGTAGGTTACTGGCTTAAGTGGAGTGTCCTTTGTCCATCTTACTGACTGACTGACTTGTCACTGAGGCAAAAAGCCCCATGCTATTTAAAGGCTCTGTGATACACAGTCCTGTAAAATAAAGAAATAAAAAAGTCCTGTGTGTAAGAACCTCAAATGTATGTGGCACACCAGCACGCAGGCAGTGTCAGAGTCCATCAGCAGAACTGCAATACTGATTTTGGTAATCGATGGTAGGAGTATTCTTGGTCTGACAGCGAAGTGCTTGGTGTTCCTACCAGCCCTTCATGAATTCACAGTTGCTGCAAACATGAATTACTTTTGTGTACTTAGAGTTACTCTCCAGTTGCTGCCATAGTAGTGAATGGCTGTCACTTATTAATGTGTGTGCAATTAGAATAATCTAGGTTGGAAAAGGCTTTCAAGATCATGTCTAGCCGTTGACCTGACCTACTGAGTGCTATCACTAAATTGTTAGGGATGTGGAGTTGTTTATTTTGGGATCATTTTTGGTAAAATTTCAGATAAAGTAGTGTACAATTGTATAAAACAACAAACATTTCTAGCAAAGTAAGTGACAATGCAACTGATATTTCAGCTGTTGGAAAAGTCCTGATGTTTGTGGCTTCAGTGGGTGATGCTCAGTGTATAGTTTGCCACAGGTGTTTGCATCTTAAGATGGTTTTTGTTAAACTGGGCTCTTGTGCCTGTTTGACATCCATTTCTGCGTTAGATCATAGCAGGTTTTGTAAGCAATAATATACCTTAAATCATGGTATCAAAGATATTTAACAATTACAAGTCATAATACTTCAGATCTAGCTTCTATTGCCTTCCTTGATGTGTCGAATGTAGTCCGTAGTGACACTGAAAATATTCACACTTCTAGTGCTTAATGATTTTAACTGAGTTCTGAAAGATGTTTGGTAGTACACGTATGCTTTTTCTACTTCAGAGGGTATCTGGATTAAGGGGCTAGCTTAGTGAAAGTCCTTCAAGCTGAGTAGGTTTAATTCTCACTCTCATCTCCCACTTCCCCCACGTTTCTTCTGAAGAAAGTGTAACACTTAATTGCCTCAGTAAATCCAGGCAAACAACACCTCAGCTGAAGCTTTGTACACACACTAAAAAGCAGCAACACTGCTTATTAAGCTTCAGAATACTCAAAGGGTGATTTTTTTGGGTAGATACTGTAATTCAACATCTTAGTACAGAACTGTGGAAATATGAAAACGGTGAATTCTCACTTTAATTTTCAGGAAGACGAATGTGCAGGTTGTACAGATGGAACATTTAAAGGAACTCGATACTTCACTTGTGCTCCAAAGAAAGCTCTTTTTGTTAAACTGAAAAGCTGCAGACCAGATTCCAGGTTTGCGTCACTACAGCCGGTTTCCAATCAGATTGAACGCTGCAACTCTCTAGGTACCGAGCTTCTGCTTATGGTTTATTTATCAGCTGGGAACTGACACGGGGCTTGGTTTCATTGAACACGTGGAGATCTCTGTAGGCAGTACTTAAATGAGGCTTACGAACAGGAAATCAACCTATAGAATATAATGCTTCTCTGGCTTTTTTGTACTTCATGGTAATTTAAGGAAATTTCATAAATCTTGGGAATTTATGTTGTATATTTTTACTTTAGAAATTGTGAAGCAGTCTTGCTGAAAATGGTATTAGCAAATCCAGCAATGTGGGATTGCAGTATCAGAATTAAGTTATCTTTCTGTCCTAAATACTGAAAGAAAAGAATGTATTTGTATGATGAAGATCAGTGGTGGAAAAGCTAATTCTCTTTCTAACATTGTTAGCTTTCCTGGGTCATGTCATTTTGCTGGGAAGAACAGCAAAGGATAAAGCATCTCGATATTAGCATGATGATGTGAACAGGGCATTTAAACTGAGAATTTCACTCCTACTGGGCAAAATTAATTCAGTGCTGCAGGCTATCTGAAGTAGTCCTGTGTTCACTGTGTGGAATGTGAGGCCTTGTTCACTTTCTGGAAGAGAGTGAGTCTTAGCTATAATGAAATGCTATTCTAGTCCAGAAAATGAATGTTTTGTGCTAAGGCAGCAGTTTAGCTATGAAACATTAATAGGAAAATCTCAAGGGGGATAAAATTGGAGGCTTTAAAGTGTCTTTTGAAAAAAAAATTTCAGCCTTTGGAGGTTACTTAAGTGAAGTGGTAGAAGAAAACACTCCTCCAAAAATGGAAAAAGAAGGTTTAGAGACAATGATTGGAAAGAAGAAAGGTATCCAGGGTCATTACAACTCCTGTTACTTAGACTCCACCTTATTCTGGTAAGTTCATAATTTGTATAGTGGTGTCCCAAGGTGTGGGTTAGTGGGAGGTATGCTAGAAGCACAGAACACGTAATCCTTGTTGTAATGATTCTGTTTTATTACTGTACAACTTAAAAAGTCATGCATTACACTTTTTAGCACATACTATGCTCTTTACATTTGAGAAAGCTCTACAGGATTTGTTGCTTAACTTGAAGTGCTAATCAGTCTCCCGTGTGTCCAGATTGTACTGGCCTTTCAGTATATCTAAAGGGAGTTTACAAACAGGAGGGAAATAAACTTTGAACAAAGGTAGATAGCGACAGATGGGGGAATGGTTTTAAACTAAAGGAAGGGAGATTTGGATTAGACTAGATGTCTGGGGACAGTTTTTTACTGACAGAATGGAACGGGCTGCCCAGACAGGTGGTAAATGCCCCATCCCTGGAGGTGTTCAAAGCCAGGTTGGTTGGGGCTCTGGGCAGTCTGATCCAGTACTTGATCTAGTGGTTGGCAGCCCTGCCTGCAGCAGGGGCGTTGGAACTCAGTGATCCTTGAGGTCCATTCCAGTCCATGCCGTTCTATGATTCATACTCTTCTGGACTGCATGAGTCCATGGACTTCTGAAGGATTAGAGAGTATGTGGGTGGGACGGGGTCAGAGAGGAACTCTTTTAACCTGCTTGTGGAATCCTGCCTCGGTAACTAGTTTTGTATTCTGCTAGCATGAGGGCATGGGGTTAGAGTGGACCTTTACTGCTTAGTACAGCTGTGTTGTCTTGTCCGTAATGATCTCATTTTGTGCTTGCTTAGTTCTTTAATTCCTCCCATTGCTTTGCTTTGCTCATCTTTATGTTGTTTAGGCATCTGAATGGTTCTGTCTGCAGAATCAAAACCAACCTGCCTTCTTTTTCTTTCTTCTGTAGCTTGTTTTCTTTTAGCTCCGTTTTGGACACTGTGTTACTCAGGCCTAAAGAAAAGAATGATGTAGAGTATTATAGTGAGACTCAAGAGTTATTGCGAACAGAGATTGTGAATCCTCTTAGAATGTAAGTAGAGACATAAACCGGTCTTTCATCTAAAATAAATTTTACAATAAAGCCTTCTGCATACACATTCCTGTTGCAAACCTGCCAAGCTTCCTTAGCTTTTTTTTTTTTTTTTTTTAAATTAACAGTTGTTTTTTATAGTACATTTCATCAGTGCTACCTGGAAATAGTTGGATGTAGTTTGGTGATAAAATACTATATTTGTCTGGATTTGAATAGAATGAGTGTAAAACTTTTGTAAGATTTGTACAAGAACATTGATAAATGAGTTATATTCATTTTTAATGTCTGTATTTATATCTTTATTGTTGCTGTTCTTGACAACAAAAGTATTTGAGTCAACTTCTGTGAAGTTTCACAGTGTCATAGACTTCATGGGGCTTGCAGAGCTTCAGTAATTCTGCAAGTGACCAAAATGCTTTTTATTAAACAGGAAGTTAATTTCATAATTTCTCAGGTATAATGAGCAAAGGGAGTGTGCCAAAAATCTTTATTATGTTGTCTTCATATTTGTTTTTTTTTTTTAAACCTGCAAACATAACACAATTCTGAAATTCTGTGGGCAAGTTTTTCCTTGCATTCCTGGAGGAAGATGATGTCTTCTGAACCGTTCCTTCCATAATTTGCCTGGTGTGTTCTGGGGATCTGCAGTGCAGGTAGTGGGGTGCACACAGAGTGCAGCAATCTCAAGTGGCTGAGAGGACTGAAAGGGTTACTCCTGCCTTTCCACCATGCTTAGAAAGTTCTCTGTACTTTTTGTAAAGTTTGAGATGATTGCTGAAAGCATCAGCTCCTCAGATCAGAAATACAGTTCTGTATCTTTCTTAACTCTTCATTAATGACTCTGATGGTGTTGTTGTATGAGACACTGAAAATGCTGCATTAAGTGGTGCAAATTAGTGCTGGGTTACAGTTTAAGAAAACCCTTTTATGCAGGAACACTTGAGTGATGTTCAACATTTGGGGTGCTTTTGGAAAACTGAATCAGGTGAGTATGAGGACTCAGTACATAGCTTTGCAGAAACACTGTACACAGAAAAAGATCTGCAAGCCTGTGTTTCAGCACTTGAGTCTTTTCTTTTCCTCTGACTTGTTTATAAACTAGCTAATAGCTTGTTAAACCCATTTATCTTAGATATGGATATGTATGTGCTACAAAAATAATGAAACTGAGGAAAATACTTGAAAAAGTTGAGGCTGCATCAGGATTCACTTCAGAGGAAAAAGGTAACTGGGAAGGCTTTTCCTTTCTTTACAATCTGTAAGAGTTATACTACAAAATACATATTATACAAAGTAAAATACAAATTTTTCTGGAGCAGTAATATCTGTACCAGAGACTTGAGTGACCACTGGATGGTAAAAAGGTCTTTTTTTTTTTTTTTTTTTTTCTTGCTTCTTCTATTCTATAAGGAACCTCCTAGCTTTATCAGTTTCTGCATCCAGTCTTTTTCTGACTGGATTTATTGCTTCCTGTGCCCATGTCTCCATGAAATGAGACACTCCCTTCTAGTAGTTAGGGGAGATCTCAGAAATGAAGACTATGGTAAGGTTGTGGTCTCTGTCCTCTTTCAAAGTGTCACTTTGCTTCCTTTGATCTTCCCACCACAACGTTTTGTCGCCACAGTGATTATACAGTAGTCTAAGAAATAAAATGTGTAACATGTTAGGAAAACCAAATCTCAATCTTTTGATCTTCTGCCGCATATAAGGATTAATTAACATTTTCATTATGTATTAGTTCTGATTTTTGTGTGGGAGAACACCATGTTCTTTGAAAATGTTAAATGCTGAGAACTAATATTTATTGCAGTTAGTGGCAGGAAGAAAAATAAAACAGGAAACTACTGGGTGTGATTAGATCTCTAAGCTAATGCTGGTTTGTTCTCGATTAGAGAGCTCATTCTCTAGGTTAGATGAACTTTGTCATACTCTGTATTTTCATACAAGCGTTAACTGTCGTGTCTCTTCACCTCTCCAATTTCTCAGTTGTATTTTTTGGTTCTCCTGTTTAAAAAAAAAAACAAAAAACAAAAAACACCAAACTGGTACCAAATGACTCCTCTGGAATACAGTGTCTTTGTAGTCTGTACTGGAAAACCCTGCTAGCTTGTTGAGAGCGTGTGTCTGTTTTTAGGGCCATTTGATGCCAAGAAAGAAAATAGAGGTTTGTGCCATCAAAATGTTTGTAGTTTGTCATAAATTTACCTTGATATATCATGAAATTGTACAAATGAACCTTTATATTTTTCTTATTTAATGTTTTGCAACTTTCCTTCTTAAATACTGCTTTTTAAGATATTAAGAAGACTTTTTTTTTTTTTTTCCCAGATCCAGAAGAATTTTTGAATATTTTATTTCATCATATTCTAAGAGTTGAACCACTGCTGAAAATAAGGTGAGTCTTTTCTGTGTTGCACTCATTTGTCTGTAGAGGCTGATGGGGAGGGACTATCTGCCACCTTTCTTACTGAGACATCTTTGACTTGTGGTTATTATTAATATTATATATTGATAGGGCTTATAAAATTACACTGACAAACTTGATGGTGTTTCCTATCATTCTTGGTAGGATGTGTTTTTCTCTATTCATGTGTTATTGCAAAAACTCGAGCTTGTCATGACGTGAGTGCTAGAACAAAGATTCCCTACAGCTGCTGATGGGAAAGCCTTATTAGTGTATGTCTATTAATTGTGCTGGAGAGAGGCTAGAGTATACCTTACTAATGAGGCCTGCAGCTTTATAGCTGCTTATTTTTGGGACAAGCTGCAGAGTTTCCTGATTTGGTGTTTAAGCCATGGAATCAGACTTGTATTTCTTCCTGGCTTGTGAAAGCGTTTCAGTGGCTCACCTTGATTAAGTTTTGCTGCTTTAATTTCTGACAAAGTAACAGATGCTGACATGTAGGTAAGCCTTTGCTCTGGCTGTGGCACCACAAGGATTCAGCTGTCTCAACTGAGATCAGGAGAGGAAGGGATTGTTGCACGTGGCTGACATTCTGCTAGCTGGCACCTGATACTTTCAGGTTCCTTGCTGTGTTCTGTGGCATCAGCAATGCTGCATTTCCTGTAGTTTTTACGTTCTTCCTTTATCCCAGGAATTGCATCAAGCAGAGCTGGGCAGCCCCCAAGTATTTTTGAGTTGGTAATTCAGGAATATAAAAACATCTTCAAAACATACTTAAGGTGCTTTTGTTTCTTAAATAGCTTTTCTACAGTCAGTCCACATGTAATGGTTGCCTGTTACTTAAGGCTTTTTGTTGTTCCTGTTTTTTTGTGTGGTTTTTTTTTTTTTTTTTTTTTTAAGCACATATATTTCACAGTAGAGAGGATGTTGTATAGGCTACTTTTTGTAGTTAATATTTTCTTTGCAAAGTACAGCTGTTGTTATGGTAGATCTGATTTTATTCTTTTTTTTTTTTTTTTTTTTTTTTTTAATTCTGTTCTCAGATCAGCAGGTCAGAAAGTACAAGACTGTTATTTCTACCAAATTTTTATGGACAAAAATGAGAAAGTTGGAGTCCCAACAATTCAGCAGTTACTGGAGTGGTCGTTCATCAACAGCAACTTGAAGTTTGCAGAGGTTGGTGACACTGTTGCTTTGTCAGAAATGATGATAGCTACATACTTACCCATTCAGCAGTGAGAGAAAAGTGGGATTGGGTGTGAAAGGAAAATGCAGATGTGTTGGGATGGTGGAGTGCTCAGTGGTACAGGTTGCTTACATTGCAGAAATATTTTATGGTTGACTTGATGTGCGTGTTACCAAAATTGCTTTGATCTGTTCAGACAAAGCATTACCAAAATAAAACTCTTTGGTTACTGTTGGTAAGTTGCCTTAAGAACTGCTTTTTTGGGATTCCTATGTTTGTAAAAAGCTTTACAAAGGAAAAGCTTAAAACAAACAAACAAAAAACCCCACTTTAAAAAAAAAAAATCTTTGTTTTTACAAGGGGGTGTAGTTCAGTATTTAATATCATGCCAGCATAACTGGCACTTAAGACATTTGACAATGAATTAGATGCTAGTTTCATGGGTTTCAGCTGTAGATTATTTTTTTTTCTAAGACTTAATTTTGTCTTTTTTGTTAATTTTTAAGACAGTAGTCTGCAACTCTAAATAACATCTAAATACATTCATAGCATTAGAAGAGGTATGCCTCTAAATTTAGATTTATCTTTTTCAAGCTTGCCTGATTATTTTCTAACTTTTCACCCAGGCTCCTTCATGCCTGATTATTCAGATGCCTCGATTTGGAAAAGACTTCAAAATGTTCAACAAAATTTTTCCATCCTTGGAGCTAAATATAACAGATTTACTTGAAGACAGTAAGTACACAGTATTGTGTTGAATAAGGAAAGGGAGTTTTTTGAAAGCAACTAACACAACGAAATTACCTCAGGCAGTTTTTAAGTTCACAACTGACAAACATGTAAACCTGTAGCATGCCGTGATGGTGCACGTTTGGCTGTGAAATCTCACTTCTTGTCACTACTGACTTTATTGTTCTGCATTACCTAAGGAAATTTGATTTTCAGTTCTTATGTAATAACTAATAAGACTGCTACAGGTTATTAGAATAATCATCTCTGTTCTAAACTGTCCCAGTGTTTTCTTTCACTGTCGCAGCCATCAGCCTTTGTTCTGCGTCTGTTTGCCGATGTCAACAGATGAAGACTGATATGACAGAGCTATTTTAATATAACAGCCTGTTTTCACTTGTCCATGAATTGATATAAATTCATTTTTATCACTGTTTGCAGCTTCCCATTTTTAAAACCTTTTATCTTCCGCATTGTTAGAGAAGAAATTAAAGGGAAGAAATTAAATGTAGTTTCTGCTTTGATTAGCTAGATGGTTTTAAGCCTTTTACAATACATTCTCTCTCTGCAAAGGTAATAATAATCTTATTTTCCATACACTTTTCTTCTTAGACAACTTTAAAAGGGTCCTAAGTGGTAGGCTAACATCCTGTTTAAAACTGCAGCTCCCAGGCAGTGCCGTATTTGCGGAGGGCTGGCTATGTATGAGTGCAGAGAATGTTATGAAGATACCGATATTTCTGCTGGGAAAATCAAGCAGTTCTGCAAAACCTGCAATACACAAGTAAGCTTCTGTCTGTTCTGCGTGGGTTTACCCCAAATGGCACGTGCTGGAATAAAAAAAGTGTAGGGAGCATTAGTGAGATGCCCTGTCAGGGAAAGCTGTGGCAAATTGGGAAGGCTGCATGGCCCTGTAATGAGTTTGTCAAGCATTTCTGTACTAAAAGTGTGGTGAAAGAGTAATTGCAGGTACCTTGGAATTTGTTCTCAGTCTTCTTTAAAACATAATTTTACGTTTTACTTGTTGGAATTGGTAAATAATTTCATGATATAAAACCATTTAATGTTTAGAGCTGTTTGGTAATTGCATGAAGCTGACAAATTCATGGCTTATTTTCAAGACTTGAGCATATTAGAAAAATCTTGCATTAAATATGACTTTCCTTCTGAATTTTTTGGGGAAATACTGCACTATACTGATTGGGGGTGTTGTGGAATACAATAAATGTGTGCTACTGCTACTTTGCAGTTCCTTCTCTAAGACCATTGATCTTCAGCAGGACTGTTCTTCTCAGCTTTGTCTGCCACTGAAACAAATAATCTCGAGTTGATTTTTTTTTTTTTTCTCTTCTGAAATATTACTTCAATTGTAGGTTCATCTTCATCCCAGGAGACAGAGTCATAAATTCAATCCATTGTCACTCCCTAAAGATCTGCCAGACTGGGATTGGCGACATGGCTGTATCCCATACCAGAAGATGGAGTTGTTTGCTGTCCTCTGCATAGAAACAAGCCACTATGTAGCTTTTGTGAAGTACGGGAGAGATGACTCTGCCTGGCTTTTCTTTGACAGCATGGCAGATCGGGATGGTACATCTTCAAATTATTCTCTTTGGTTTTCTGTAACTTTTAAAACTTGTATTACAGTTCTGTAAGTTTTAGTGCCTATTTATTTCCTAACACTTGGTGATACTAGTGCCATCTCACTTGAAGCGTTTAATGCTGAGACATGAATCTTGAACCCATCCTTTCCTTAGCACATTGCTATAGCAGACTTAATGCGTACGTTCTGATTTTCAGCAAAATTGGATGCCTTAGTAAGTAGATGGTACTGAATTAACTGGAGAGATCCTCCAGTAGGGCTTTTTATGGTTTTCTGTATTTTCTAAATTTGGCAGAGAGAACTGATTTAAAGGGGATGTATTTAAAAGTTGCAAGAACACATTCCTTCAGTCTTTTTAAATGGATGTACACAATTAGCAGATACTTTGTGGATATCTCTTCTATTGCTTTTGCTTAAATGACTTTGTTATTTCTAATACAACTTCACCAAGTAATGCGGTGCAATCTGTGCTACTCCTTTGAATCTCTTTAGAGTTAGCAGTGGGAAACACAAATGTCAGGAAAATAAATATTCTTTTAGAATTCTTTTAAATATTCTTTTTATTGCTGCATTAAATAGTAACAAGGACTGTGTTGAATTCTGATGCCTGTGAAAAGCAGCAATAGATACAAGTGTTGGACTGAATGCAGCAGTTCTTTGCATGCAGAATTCTTGAGTCCCTCTATGCTTTGGTGCTTTTTTCAGAAATTATTTTTATTTTGGGGGAGACTGGGAGAAGTGTTGCCTCCTGCCAAAAGTGAAATTGCTGTAGGACTAAGGTCATCCTATCACCCACATAGCAATAAAGCTTTGTATTGAAGGGCTTGAAACATGTATGACTTAAGTCTGTTAAGAACCACTGTATTCCAGGAATGTAGGATCATGAGATCCTGCTGAGCTTAGCTTTTTTTATCACAAATAATTTTCTTCAGCTGGAGTTTAAGCTAAAAAGTGTTTGCTAGGGAACGGTGCCATGGATGTCCGTACATCTTACTGTTACTTGATAGCACTTTATTAACAAATTCAGTAGCGTGCAAGGTGGAGTGTGTGTTCAGGCAACTCTCCCAAAGCTGTATGGAATTTGTACTGTCAGTGTAGAGATCCCGACAGCCCTTTCTGTGCCATGGTTCTGTCATGGTGCTTGCGTGGGTTTTTCTTCGTGGAGCTTCCAGATCAAATTCTCCAAATGAGATGATAAATACCTCACCATTTTTTTTCTTACGCAGATAAATATTACAGATGCATGAATGTTCCATCAGAAAAGCAAGTAGTTGTGGTTGATACTATATTTTTCATTACGCTTTGACATCTCTGTGCAGAACAAATTGTGCACTGATTTTCTTTAAAGGCTAATTCTAATGCCAGAAGCTATTCTGTATTTTCTCTGGAGCAAATATGCTTCTCATACCTCCTTGTGAAGCCTGAAGTAGTCCAAAATAGCAGTTACATTTTTTCTGAAGGCATTTTCAAGAATTAGCGATGCTGTTGTAATTGAAGCATATTATAAAGGGTAAATGTATGTAGATGGAATCCTAATCCTCATCTGTCTCTTTCCTCATGCATAAAAGGAGGTCAGAATGGCTTTAACATTCCACAAGTCACCCCATGCCCAGAAGTTGGCGAATACCTGAAGATGTCTGTAGAAGAACTGCACTCACTGGATTCCAGAAAAATTCAAGGTTGTGCACGAAGACTGCTCTGTGATGCTTACATGTGCATGTATCAAAGTCCAACCATGAGTTTGTACAAATGAACAACGCCCTCTGGAAAGCTGAAGAAAGGACAGATTTCTACTGTTGCGTTCTCTGCATTTTTTGTTAGTTTTGATGCAACCGTTGCTGGCGATGGATGCGATGACAAGGAAGAAGTTGACTGAGAACAAAAGGATCACTGTTCCAAAAACTACTTGTGGAGTTCTGAGGTGGAAGTATTTAAGCATTTTGCACTCTAGGAAGTGTGCTTGTGTGTGTTTGTTTTATAAACAAAGTCTAAATGAAGTTACTAAAACTTAAAGCTTTAAGTGCATTCATTATATATGGACATTAAAAAAAAAAAAAGAAGAAAAAAGTGGAGTTATTCTCAGGAGAAACCTCCTTAGTCCATTGAGAATGTAAAGATGTGGTGTTACTGCTCGGGTGAGTTTCTATGGACCAAGGATGATAATTCTTGTTTCTCTCCCCCTCAGCACTGCCTTTTTAGCACCATTAATTCTTCAAGAGAATAACTTCAGTTTTAACAAGATAAATGTTAAACTGTTCATTGCATTTTAATTCTGTCCTGTTAACTGTCTGCTGTCATACATTTACATCTTCAGAAATTCATGTCCATTACTTAAACATCTCAGTTCCTGTCCTGTGGAAGTCAAGCACACTGACTTGTTGTTTGGGAAGTCGGGATTGTTGGAGAGAAGAAGAGAGCAGTAAGAGGAAGGATAACTGCTTAAAATTAGCAGTGCAAGGGTATGGATCTAACTGATGTGTAAAGAAAGCAGACTGGAACAGATCATCAACTATATACAGATGATTGGAGGACAAAATAAAGTAAGGGTTGCCTCAGGGAATGGTATTGAAACGGAGTTTAGTTCTTGGTGAAACAAAACTGACTTTTATACAATACATTAAGCTACTACCTAGGAATACATTACACATCTGACTCTTGATATCAGGATTACTAATGAATATTAAAAATATCTGCTGGGAAAAATGAAACCAGAAGTACAGGATCAGAGTTTTACAGTTTTACCTAGTACTTAATGAAAACTAATTTGAAAAGCTGCAAAATCTGTATTGTGTAAAATGCACTTGGAAGTCTGTTGGTTCCTGTTTGCCATGAATTTTTGTGTTGTTGCTTTTTAGCTACTTCTGTAGCTAAGTGCTATATATAATGTGTGTACACAGTGAAATCTGGTTGTACAAAGGAGTTAGTTACAAATTGCATATATGTATGAGCTGTACATTTTCAACTAGAGATGTTTTATATGGAAAACTTCCTCCTTGGGATCAAGTCCATATAGAAAACGCAACAGGAAAAGCTGCTTTATCCACTGTTTTAAAGAGGATGGGGAGTGATCCTGTGTTGTAAATGTTACTTTATGCTTCTTGAAGAAAACAAAACTCTCCCTGTGGGACATGCTCTACCACTGGGTTCTGCTAGAGCAAGGTAGGGAAGTGCTCAAAGGACTACTCTGTCAGCTCTAAGGAAAACAAAGGGGGGCTGAGAGCACTGATCTGTTCCCTGGGCAGCTGCATGAAGTGTGGTCTGAGTTTTCACTCTCAAGAGCAAAGAACTTTTTGGTGTCACTGCTGCTTTTGCCTCTAATAATCTCCTGGCTTCCAAGGACCCTTGCCTTATTTATCTCATCTGTGCTCCTGGCAAAATGCTAATTCTCTAGTTGCAGTACTGAGTTCTTAAACTCCTTTTCTCCCAAAGAATTCCTGTAAGGCTTTATTTACCTGCTGGATTCGGTAAACATCTGTCAGCAGAGGGCTGTTGTTGGCAGTGGTTCTTCCTTGGCTCTGGGAAAGCAGCTGCAGGTGCTCAGATGTGTTGACAGAGATGCCATAGAAGCAGTGGGTAGGGACTATAAAGTAAAAATGACTAGGCTGGTATTTACTTTATAATGCCACTTACTTGCTTACACAGTGGGAGCAGAAAGTATGATTTCCACCCCCTCCTCCCCCAAAAAAGAAAAAAAAAAAAGAAAAGAAAACATATATTAATAACAAACAGGACTGAATTGAAGTTGATGGGTGTGAATAAATGAACTGCTTGGCTTCCTGGCTGCAGTTTTTCTCATCTGACTGCTCTGTGGTAATCTAGCAATGTAAATGAGATGTCATGGAACCTAACCTGGGTTTTCTATTTCAGGAAGGATTACAAAGCAAACATCTTTCACTCTAAAAAGAAATGTGTAAAATAAGTTAGAGAATTCAGGATGTGCCAAAGGGGATTGAATAAGCTAATTTGAGGAGAGCCTGCATTTAATACCTGCCCTTCTGGTAAAGGCAGTGCACAAAAGTTCCAGTGACTGAGCACTCACCATTGATATATATAATACATTTGGGAATGGCCCAGGTATTTTTTTTTTTTCCTATTTCTTTTGAAAATGCAGATGCACCCCTAAATTAATAGCACTTGTTAAATGAGATGATTGCTTCATGGTTCACCTCTCACATCTTGCTAATGTGGTCTTAAGGTATGAGTAAGAATGCACATACAAGGTACAGTTCCTAATGGCCTGCAAACAAAGTTGAGAGAAAAAAGAAAGGACTGCAGTACTTAGTGCTCACCAATAGAAATCCCCAAAGCGCTGTAGGCTGCAGCAGAAGGCTGGTGTATTTTGGTAACTGGAGAAAAAGCTGCAAAATTCTCTTCAGTTAAAGGATCCTGAACATATGTTGAAAGTGTAGTACTGTGTTTTACTGAATAGCTTCAGCAGTGGCTACTTTAAGCAAGTGCAGTGTGTCACAGGAGTTATTCCTACAAATGGTTGGTTCATTTCAATGCACTTATTTTTCTTGTGCACTTTATGCTCCACTGAATAGATAAACTTGGTCACCACGGTCCCTACTGCCAGCCTGTGTCACACAAAGCTGGAGCACAATTGGCTGCAGATTGCAACTTGGTGTTTCAGACCTGAGATGGTGTAAAAAGCAGCTTGAAAGCTTTGTGTATTTTTACCACTGTAACAAAGCATGTTTTCTCTGTTCTTGATGTTTTGCTAAATAAACATCTCATGTTTTGTGCACAAATCATCTCCTTAAACTTACAAATGCTGTCTGCAGAATGGGGTAGGGAAACAAACCATTGTATCAGGTTGCCCTGAACTAGCCTTAACTTTTCTTCCCCAATGGTAGAAAGCAATTAGCTGCTGCTGCAATGTACCATGTGTTCTTTCTGTATTAATTAAAAGTATTATTCTTACTGCTCTCTGTACTTCTTCAGTTGGGGGGGGGGGGAGAGGAGGGAAGGGGCTTTGAGTTTTGGAGGGTCAAAGGAGGAGAATACATTTCTTAGACAAGTAACTGCTGAGTCACGCTGTAGCTTCAGCACTGCTTCCCTTGCTGCCACATGGGCTCTGCATGTACACCTTGGAATGTTATTTCTCTCTGAAAAGATTGGCAGCCAGCATCTTAAGGTTTCCCTTTTTTAAATTCACAACAAATATTTTTTTACATCCTTATTACAGATACTGACATACTTGTAAGAATATCTGTAAAATATATCTTAAGAAAATTCATTTCGTATTTCTGTAGTGGAAAGAGCTTTCCTCCACTCGTAAAAGCGAGCTTTTTTCTTTGAAATAAAATGAGTACTGAACTTATTCAAAGTTAAAGCACAGCCCTTCTGTGCCTCACTGCGGGAAAGGCCCCCAGCTGCTCACCTGCTGCCCGCAGCGAGCTGCATGCAGCTGACGCTGGGCTGGAGCTGCGGCTGCGCTTCGCGTGTTCCGCCACCAGAGGGCGCTGCCTGTGCCGGCTGGACTGCTCTGCTCCCAGGTTAGCAGGATGAGGATTGGTGCTCAGCTCGTCCGCAGGTACCGCAATGCCATTCGCACGGGCACCGCAGCAGCTCCTTCCGGGGCGCAACGCAGGTGATGGCAAACGGGGTCCGTGTCGAGCTGCTGCCTGAGGGACTAAAGCGGGTGCTACGGGGAGATGCAAATTGCCTAAGGAATTCTGAGGCATTAAGATCGCTCACTAGAAGCAAACGAAGACGGTAAGCAGTGTGAAAGCAGCAGTAGCTTTCAAACACAAACAGGCACGCAAAAACCAACATGAGAGAAAGAGAAAAGCACGAGGTGATTCACAGTCCTCACCCTCACCTGCTTGGAGGGTGAGCCGGCTGGCTCAGTCCATACCCACCTCAGCACACAGCAGGGCTGCAGGTACGGTTGATGCAGTTTATAACTGAGCTAACAGCACAGTTAGAACATTCACAAACAGGTTATGGGTGGGGAGGCGGAGGGAAGCCCGCTTTCTGGTCTGAATATTCAAATTCTGCATCTGGTTTCCATGTGGATGCAGTAGTTTGATAGCAGATACAGGTATTTACACGTTTTTACAAATGTAACAAAACTTAGTGTGTGCATGCAACTGTTCTCAATGGACACTGAAAACAAAACAAAAAAATTCATGGATGTATTTTCTATCTCCCTCTATTCATGCATTTCCATGCCCTCATTTATTTATTTGGTACTGTTGATGCTGTCTTAGCTGATAGCTGCAAACCACAGCACCTCCCCCCATTCCATCCTTTCCCAATTCAATGCTGTGCCAGTGGGTGAGGCCACAGCACTGCCACTCCTGTGATGGACACAGAGCTGGTGGGGCTGTGCCACCCGCCCATAACACTCCTGTCCTGCTCACGAGGACGGTGATGCTCAGTGTCTCACCCGGAGCACAGGACGAAGAAATATTTTGTGATGACCTCTGGTGCAGCCCAACCCTGCCAGGCAAGGCAGTCAGAGCCTGAAGGCAGGAGTGATGCAAATTCACTTGTTGCAAATGGGAAAACCACCACTAACAGAAAGGCAGCCCCAGCTTCCCAGATGGTTTGCAAACTTCCTACCTTTATGTTTTTGATGTTAGAGTTCTTTTCTCATCCTATTTATCGCTCATTTTCAGCTGGCTCCCCATTCCATGAAGAAATCACATATCTGAGAATGTAAATAAAGATTGCATATGAGTTCTGCAGTCATTTCCTTTTTGCACCAGCACTGAAGTTGGCTGGATTCAGCTTCATTTTCTAATGAGCCTGGACTGCATGCCAGTGCTCACACATCGTGGTGCCATCCACCTCACATTCCACACTGCATGTTTTGTATTCTTGTTGTTTTTTTTTTCCTTTAAACCAATGCAGCTTTCCCACCTATCAAATTTATTTGCAAAAGTAATTTTCTTTCTACTCATCTATTACATTAAATCAATGAATAAATAAATTATAATGCAGCAATTACATGCGTAATGAGATGAGGAAGAACTATTCATAGATGCAGAGCTAGTTGCCCAAAGGTGAACAGACTTCCCCTCTCTCCTTACAAGCCAGGTAATGATCTTTCCGTGGTGGAGAAACAAGCAGCTGCTACACATGTAAATGAAACCAAGGGATATATGAGTTCACGCTACAGTGCTGTTCTTCAGCCTCATTATTATTGTCACATTATCGGTTCTTCGGTGACTTTTTCTCTGAATATTTAAAGATAGGGTAGGGGATATGCAATTATTTTTAAACATCCTTCTGTCAAATGCCTGTCTGAATGAACACAGGAGCACTGCGGAGTGTTGGCTCTCTTTGCTACCCTCTGCTGTGCAGTGCAACTGAGTTTTATCCCAGCAAAGCTGTTCCCAAACCAGTGCTGTTCTTCAGGAAGAAGCCAAAAGAAAAGAGAGAAATTCTGAAATTCCACAAAGAAAAGAAATCCCTTTTTGAAATAAGAAAAACATCAGCATTCAACAGCAAAGCTGAATGAAACAACACAGAGTGTACACTACCTATCAGTAGTAGTCTTCTAAGTTTATGGCTATCAATTATAGCATTATTAGTATGTGCTCAGTAGCTTGGTACTGCCGCAAGGAAAAAACAGAATGCTCTTAATCCTGTTTTTTTTTTTTTTGTCCCAGAGTTCTGGCTGCTTTAGTTGGCATGTTCTGGGATGCTCCATGTCCTTCATTCCAGGTCTATCTATGGTGGTCATATAATAACCTAAGTTGGAAGGGATCCATAAGGATCATTGAGTCCAACTCCTATTCACAATTACAGCCAGAGGGTTACCTTCTGGTATGAGAAATCCTCATTCCTTACTTCAATAGCCACAACAGTGGGAAATGCCATTTTAGTCCTTCTCTTTCCTCCAAGTGCTCTCTCTCCCTCCTTTCCCCCCATGCCTGTGTTTACCCCCACACACACACTCCCCCGTACAAGATCACATTATTCAGAAAATTTATTTTCAGAGGAGTGAATGATGCCTTTACTGCTCCTGTCCCAGCCTGAGCTGACTCTGGTAAGAATGAGCCATTAACACTGGAGTGAAAAGATGCAGCATTACCCAGAATGTCAAGTTGCTTATTTCAAGCTTTTTTATACTTAGAAAATTAAGGCTTTTCCCCCCTCCTTTCATATAGTCTGAGAATTTCAAGGGCAGCTCCTCAGTTAGCAGAGATTTCAGTGAAGCTACAGTGGTTGATTTATTATAATTGATGGCAGGAAACAGAACTATCTCAGCAAATCAGTTGGGCTGATAGGAAAGCTGGCCGGCAGATAAGATGCAGTGCTGACATACGACCTGGCCTGCAAATGCTTCTGATGGAGTCAGGCAGCTTTACCTATGAGGATGAGCTGCTGCACAACAGAAGGTGCTCAGGAAGAGCAACGAGCAGGCCAGGGATGTGGCAGGGCATGCATGCAGCACACAACCTGGGAGCAGCGTCCTGCAGGCTGCCAGAGGGTTCAGGCTAAGGGGAGATCTGTTAGCTGCCCCATTCATGGCATTTAAGCAACAGGTTCAAAAAGGAAGCTGGACTATTTTCTTTCTTCTAATCACATATTGCAGCCACGGAACTTCAAAGGTATTCAATAGGGTTGCTATTGAAGCAATTGTCTTGCTTTCCATTGCTGCTACTGTCTGGGCCCTTAGCGCACAGCAGCAGCAGCTGTGATGAGGTCTTATGCAGCCAGTTTACCTGCAGAACTTTTACTGAAGATACAACACTTCTGATATTCCCTACAATCTGGTCTTTTATCCAGGCAAACATGAAAGCATCTCGCTCTCCAGCACTTCACTGGCTGCCTCCGCTTTACCTATTTACACAGATAAAAAAGAAATCCCAAAGCCTGTAATGAGTTCATTGTATATGTTCCTTAGCATTGAACACACCCATCTCTAGAGCAGTATGCAGAAGCTGATTAAAAACAGTCAGAGAAAAATAATACAAAATTATAATGCAAGCAGATGATATGAAAAACTCAAATTTGAGAGGATTTCCATTTGGTAATCATCAATAACTGTGTCCATCTGTCTTCACACATCTGTGTGGCTGCAGATATTGGGATGAGGGTGGTGGAAGCGTTTCTACCTGCGGGACACCTCATTGAACACCCCTGTCAGCAGTGTGCAGAAATAACAGCAAGTTTTGCACTGTGGTTAGCACCATTCACACTTGGCAGAGGACAGGAAACGTGCCAGACCTTCTATAGCCTGAACCAATGGTCGCCTCTCAGTTCTTACAAGCGTGGGGAAATCACATGATAAACATAGGCAGAAATAAAATGATAAACATGGAGGGAGGAAGGGAAAAATGAACCTTTTATTCAAGGTAAGAACTCAGTGATAAATAGATCTGTGCATATTTCCCAGCCTCATTCCTCACTTGCCAAGTCTGATGCTATTTTCATTAGGTCATGTTACCATACATGTCATTTTATACAAAGGTGCAGTATATCACAACTGGAGGTTGAGGTGCTTGTAGTGAACACAAATGAGCTTGTAATGGTCCATCTGCTTTGATTTTATTTAGTGATCCCTCAAGGGCTGGGAGCTAGAGTGAGAATAACAATGCTTCAACCCATCTGCTATTGTAGTACCAGCTCCAGTTGAATTATCACATGTTCTGAGTGGCTGGCATATGCTGTGACATAAAGCTACAAGAAAGTGTTGCTCTCCAGCTGTTGTGTTGACAAATACTTTTCAGCCAGTCATTAAGTTCAGCTCAATAACCAGGGGGAAACTGCAGCTAAAAGTTGATTATTATTTTATTTTATTTTAAGCATTAGAAATCACAAGTACAATATGTTTTATTAAAAAATGTGTCACAAATGTCACACATTGTATATGAGCCCTAACAATAAAAATTTCTTTGTGATGGCCATAAATTTGTGTGTTATAGGATTGGATGGGCATCCCTGTAACTGACAGTGTAAATCTTAGTAATGAAACTATGGCTAACCTAGTTTTAGAAAGAGCACATCTGAAGCTGTGTATAAACTCGTATAAACTCATTGGCTCTGTGGTGCTGGGGCCATGGGCATGCTCGACTACACAAAGAAGGACTGTAAAATAGATGTGATCTGAGGCCATGTGCAATGATAGATTGCAAGGCTGCCTTTACATTGAGGTGGAAAGCAACAAGGGCTCCAAGCACTGATCTGGTGGATGCAGTGGGTTCAAAGGCTCTCCTGGCCCTGCGCTTCAGTCCCAAGGTGTGATTGCCAAAAGTGGCTGCTAACTTTTACGGCCTCTTGCACTGCTGGTGGCCTACTGAAGAGTTCTCATTACTCCAGAGGCACCCAAATACGTGCCCTCACTTCAGAGAAGACTTATTAGAGTGTTTGGGGACACTGCTGCTGACAGATTCCCTTTCTCCTTCCTCTCCTCACCTTGGTCCTCCCATGGCTGCTGTGGGAATGGAATTCACTACTCTGGGAACAAAGTAAAGGGAATTTCTCGTAGGTTCAAAGGCTGACATACAGCCAGATACCTGTTGAAAATGTGACATTCCCTGCACTGCTTAATGCTCTCCTTCTGCAGACAACATACCCAGAGAGAGGATGTGCCTTCTGGGCACTGTCAAACTTCCAGTGTTCAATGAGAACTGCACAAATAAAACTCATTCCTGAAGGTATTCAAAGCCTTCTCTAGAATTCTCACTGTTAATTTGAGACAGCTTGCTGCAGCACGTGGAGGTAGAAGGGATCAGTAAGAGGGTAAAACCAGACCCTGTGTGCACCCTCAGTGCTGCCCCTGACCCAACAAGGCAGTGCATGCTCTCTGGAGCACGGCTCTTGTGCACTTCTATTAACCGCTGCATCAAGGATTCAGTTGTTAAATACAGCTTATGTTTGTATTTTGTCTCAGAAAAACAATAGGCCCTGCTCGTACTGAAGCATTTCACTTCTAGAGGCTTATATTTCCTTTTGTATCCAAAGACCTGTGGGTGCCAGCTGTCATGGTATTATGATCCCCTGGCTAGTGCAGGAATTGTTGATTACGTTGCCTTTTGAATCAGTTGATTACCATGAATAATACGCCAAAAAGGCTGTCAGCATTTTGACTTTAACTATAACTGTTACAATTAATTATGGGTTTAATTAGCATATATGCCTAGCAGTAGAGAATATAATACTTCACGGGTAACAGATGATCCTGCAGCTGTAACATAAAGTGTGATACAGGTTGGGATACAGATAGTTATTAATAAATGGCTTCTATTGTGCGAGGTCCTTATTTATACAAATTAGCAGGCATGACAGAATCAACCCAAACTGTATAATTTATAATAATTGATTTCATTTTGACTGACCACCAATCGGCCTACTACATGCCCTCAGAAGAAAAATAGCCCTATTAGGATAAGTTTAATCCTAAACATAGCTAATGAATCCTATTACTTTAAGGTCATATTTGAAGCTTTTGTTAATTGTCAGAACCATTTTAAATTGATTAGAGTTAAATTAAATCAATGTAATGTTTAGAAAAACAATATTTCTAATGGATGAGGCCAAGCTGACCTCAAATAAACATATTTATCAACCGATTTCAGTGAATGAGAAGGCTAGCAGCTGGGCTCATAATTCACAATTGTCTATAATATGGGAAATGTCACTATCTAGGCAATTAATTATGTCAGGTAATAAATCTGTTGCTCACAGTTGACCATTTGC